ATTATATTTTATTGGTTCTTGATTTCTAATTATTAATTTATTTAATTTTGATTATTAATTCATCTAATTTATTTAATGTGATATCAATATTTTGCTAATTTCAATTATAATACTTAGATTAATTTGTATTATGTTTATTATTTCTTGACATTATACATGTTATAACTTTATTATTTTATTGATTCTTTACATCATTACAAATCTTGTAGATCTGTATTACTTTAATATATATTTAAATAAATGTAATTTAATATAGAAAATTAGATATCTTGTACTTTATCTTTGATCTTAATAATAATAAAGAATAGATCAAACTGTTAATTATTCTAATTATATTATTCTTATTGAACTTCTTGTCTTCATTCTTATAATAATTCATTATGTGTTTAATTATTATTCATATTAGTTATAAAGCTTCACTTGTGATAATTATAAATATAATCTTTGTCACTTGACATTGAAACTCGTATTTTAGAAAAACTTATATTATATATTTTTGCGTGAACATGGTCACTATCACCTATCTTGTAAATATCTTCATCAGTAAGATCACAGATTAGTGACAATATTACATTGTAAATATTATCTTTTTATTTTTGCTGGCTCTATATTATTAATTTGCGTTCATTTTGGTTGATCTTATTTGCTTGTTTAGCTGTTCTAACTTGTTAATTTTACATTCATTTTGCTAGTTCTTTATTATTAATTTTGCAATTGGCAAATATTCGTAAAATGGATAAAAAATCTTAAATAATATTAATGTCTTTATATTCTTTATTTAATAACCAAGAATTTTATATTTTTTTTTCATTTCTCAAATTTTATCACTAACTCATCTCCTTTTTTTTATAATTCATTTATTGCTCAGCTATTGGCAAATAATACCAAAACAAAATAAACATGTTAAATATTACATATCAGCTATCAAGAAGTGCTCAGATAATGCTAAGCTAAGATTTAATGAGAAATGCTTCGATGCTGCATGAATGGATGATGAAAATGAGCCTTTGAATGATAATTAATTTATAGAGAATTTGGGACAACTAAAACCAAATACAATCAAGAAATTCATTAAGAACTCCAAGCAACTGGACATATGAGTAATAAAGAGACAGAAATTATCTTATATCAGTTTGATCTCATCAATCTTGCAAAATAAAAAACAGCTCAAAAAAAAGCAGCTTTAAACATCAATAAAATCACAAACTGATTCCCAATAATTAATTCTAATAATACAGCAATCCAAATATTATTTGTTCAGATAACTAATAACATCAATGAATCTTTTCTCAATAAGATTGATGAACTCCCATATGATGAGATGATTAATTTCAGTAAGGATGACAAGAATGAGTTTATTTTGGAATCACTCAATGTTTTTTTGAAGAAAAATTATGATAATATACAATTTCATATAGTGAGCCAATTTCTTCACTTGGTTAAAGATCAGAAGTTTTCAAAATTATCAGCTAGTGAGCTTCTTGCTCGTAGTATTAATAAGAGTTCATGGCATGCATGTGTTATTTGCTCATGGACAAATTAATGACTAAGTAAAGATATATTACTCACATTACATCGTGATCATTATACAAAAATCTGGTCGCTCTTGCTTCATGAAGATTTTAAGTTAAATATTATTTAGTATTTATGGGCAAACAAATTTAAACTTACTATTCATCAATTTATAAAGTTTGTTGAGAATGAAGTTATTCCAGCTTTTGGAATTGAAGGAAAAAAAACTATTTTTATGGAATAGCTCAGAAATGATTACATCATCTTGGCTGGAACTACAAAGATCACTCAAAAAATATTTACTTTAACGGTCATGAGTGAGATGATGTGATAGCTTATCAGAATTAATTTTTGAAACAAATGACTAATCTATGATCTTGATTTGCAATTTATGAGGGTGAGAAGATGAACCAAGTTATCTCACTGATACTTTTATTCAATATTTCTGAACTCATTCCAGTTACACATGATAAATCAATTTTTTATGCCAATGATGGTGTTGTTACTACTTGGGATCCTACAAATGAAAACGCAATCTGGTGCAAGTCACAAGATCTTAGTGTTCACGTAAGTGATTTTATTTGTGAAACAATCAGACGTCTTTATTTTTTAGAGGAACAACAAGCAGCAAATAATTTACTTCCTAATGGTGAGCATCTTTTATATACAGAAACCTGTATTATTATCCATCTGAACTCAAATCAAGATGGTTAGTAAATGAATAAGAATGTTATAAAGTAGGTAACTGAAAGAGCTATTTCAATTTTTGAACAAACACATCCTGGCAAAGTCACACTTTTCATGTTTGATAATAATTGCTATTACAACGTATTTGTCGATGATGCTTTAATTGTTTTACATATGAATATGAAGAGCAGAGGTAAGTAATCACTCCTTCGTAATGACCAAATACCTAATAGTTCTGTTTATACTATAACATTTGTGAATGTTGATGATGTAACAAAATCAAAGGGTATTCAGCATGTTCTTCAAGAGCATGGATTATGAATAAAAGGCTTGGTGAAATAATGTAATACTGTCACTATTTGATATTTTAGATCACATGTAAAATATCATGTGACATATTTTAATAATCATTAATATTTTCTTTTATAATTTTTCTATTTATAATTCTATTTTTAATTATTTAACTTATCTAACTTATCAAAAACACCAATCAATTCTTTTTAATATCACATTATTTATTTTATTATAACATTATTAGATCTAAATTCATTCTATTTTAAATTAATTTCATTTAATATAACGCTAATGTCACTCTAATTTTAATTGTATCACTTAGATTAAATTAGTATTATGCTTATCATTTCTTGGTATTACACTTCTTCCAAATTTATCTTATAACTATTTTTAAGTAACATTACTCATAATGTAGATCTGTATTATATTTATATGTATTTAAACAGATATAATTTAACATAGAATAACAAGTATCTAGGTATCTAAATAATAACTTTGAAAATAATAAAAGTATAGAAGTTAACTAATACTTCTAATTAATCTTTTACTTATTGTTATTTTTGATTTATTATTTACTTAACTTTGACTTACCCAACTAGTGGAAATCATCTTTTGTATCTTAATAAATCATTTATATTTTTAAACTTATAAAATACTTACCCAATTAGTGGAAGTATTTGAATCTATTTCTTTTTAATACTTTTTCCCAACCATCTAGTATCCAACCCTCTCAAGTACACACAGTTACTATTATCACTCTTATACAATTCTTAATTAATTACTATAATTAGTTAATACTTTACCTATCACTATAAGAACGGTAACAATATATATATTATTATTATTAATATTTTAAGTAATATTTAAAAGTGAAATAATTTCAAATTTTCAAATTTCATATTTACATATTTTTTTGAATTTCATATATTAATATATATATATTAATATATATATATATTAATTAACAGAATTATGGGATCATATTTGGAATTTTCTTAACAAAATATAATAAAAATTAAAATTTTGTCTTATATAGAAATTTTCAATTTATTAATAAAAATTTTTTATTTTTATATTAAAACAAAGATTATGTTATATTTTACTATATATTTTTTCTGGATTTTTTTGACAAGATTGTTCTAATTACAAAGTTATTGCAAGAATTTTTTATAATTAAAAATGTAAAATTAATTATAAAAATTTTTGCAATAACTTTGTTAGAAAAAATATATGTTAAACTATAACTTATATATGATTTTTGTTTTAATATAAATAAAATTCACGTTTAAATACAAGGGCAAATGTGGTACAAGAATTATCAATAAAGGTAACGATAATTTCATATAATAGATATTACAATTATTCAATAAACTAAAAGATGGTAGCGCCTTTTCAACCTAATCAACCAGCAAAGACTAGTAGAGACGGGACAATGAAACTATCCCGAAGATCTAATCCACCCGGTCCTACCTCTGCAGCTGACCAGGACGTATGTTGATACGACTAAAGACGTGATGTGCGGCACAAAGTTTTTCGGTTTTCTCAAAGAACAGGAAATTTTCGTGTAGGAATATTTTGAGAGCTGTGCTATACAAGAGTTCCTTGGACATACCCAAACAGTTCGTACTGTCGCCTGGAATAGTGATGGGAGCAAACTTGCTAGTGGCTCCGTAGACAAGACAGTGAGATTGTGGCATCCTGACCTGGTAATTTATTGGTGCTATCTGATATTTTTGCTTTTACCTTATAACCAAGGTCTCGTTTTAATTTCATAGTCAATTATCCTAATTCTTTAGCCTACGAATCCAGATAGATTAACCGGCCATACAGATAGTGTCGATCAGTTATGCTGGAGCCCACAATCAAACCATTTACTTGCCACGGCTTCAGGTGACAAGACTGTAAGGTTCTGGGATACACGAAGTAAGAAACGGTTAATAATAAATAATACTTTAACCCACAAGTAAATTCATCCTTGATATAATTATTTGCAGGTAACCGATGTGTCAATGTAACGAACACTACCGGTGAAAATATAAATATCGCTTGGAGTGGGAATGGTGAAACTGTCGCTGTTGGCGACAAGGTCAGTAATGATATCTCAATTTAAGCGGATATAATTATACTCGAAAAAAATTTATATTTAATTTATATGTATGTATTCTTTCAATTTTTAGGATGATCAGATAACTTTTATAGATACACGTCATATAAATGGTCGCCGTGAATTCAAAGTAAAGAAAACTTATAAAGAATCCGCTGAAAATCATGAGGAGGTAATTTTTATATAATTATATATATAAATGATTATTTTTATATAACTTATGTTGTTCAATGACACGTGTTAAGATTAATGAAATCAGCTGGTCTATGGATTGCAAAAACTTTTTTATTACTACTGGATCTGGGGCTGTCAAAGTTTTTGATTGGCCTTCGATGGTTTTTCATCAGGAAGCGAAAGCTCACACAGCGAATTGTTATTGTATCGATTTCGACCCGAAGGGAAGGTGAATTATGAAAGATTTTTATTACTCGTATTATATCTATTACTATATTCATAATAAATTCCTTTTAAAGATATTGGGCAACTGGCGGTGCTGACGCGCTTGTATGCCTTTTCGATTATGAAATGATTGGAATCAGATCTTATGATTCTTTACAGTGAGTAATCATTTCGTTAGATTAATTCTGAGTACTACTATTATTTATATTTATATTTATATTGAATTATGTAATTTCACAGTTTCCCTGTAAGAACCTTAAGTTTTACACATGACGGAGCATACTTGGCATCTGCTTCTGAAGATGAACATATAATCATTGTGAGTTGTCTTTTGTTTTTATGGAGACATATTGCTTATGAGCCTAATCTTATCGTTTGCATAAAAAAAGACAAATGTTCTAACAGAGCAAAAAGAGAATCAAGAAGCTTTCCGTATTCCCACGAAAGCAGCCACAAACTCTGTCGCATGGAACCCAAGAAATTATTTATTGGCCTATGCGGGGGACGAAGTAAATCCGGATAAATCATATGTTGGTCTTAAAGTATTTGGGTATCACGAATAATAACTTGCACTATATATTATACTTTGTGAATCTAATATCTAATAATGACGAGACGAGTTTATTTATTTATTTTCATTAATACAAACAATTGAGGAATAAATAATTAAATGCAAAAATACATGCATGTACACCTGTGATTTAATGCTATAACAAAATTTAATGTTCAATTTTTCTGTAACAAAAGATGACATTAAATGCACCACTTTCGCTCTCACTGACAGTTTCCTCGAACACTGTTCAATTTCTTTCCCAGGTATGCTAGGAATCACTTAATAATTGACAACTCGAAACAAATGAATGTTCTTTCTAAAAGTTTACTGACACGATTCCTGGTTTTTCTTGTAAAAGTAGGAAACCACAACTCTAATAGTAAAGAATTTGCCAAATTTCTCTGAACCCCATTTAAGAGACTTTTTTCGTCAGTTCGGCGTTTGCAATGTGAGAATACTTAATTCTCAAAAACTGGTATGATTATCTAAAAATTGCTTCATTCACTATACAATAGAATTTTTCATTGAAAAATTATCATTGTATTAACATTTTTCATAAAGAAAAATGCGGCATTTTTGGATTTTATGGATCGAGTGTCTGCCAGTACAGCTTTTGCAAAGATACAAGAGTTGGGTGAAATTGGTGGAAAACGGATCAGAGTAGAATATGCATTGCCAAGTAAAGAGGCTTTAAGGAAAGGAAAAGAAAAGGAAACAGAAGATGGAGGAGCAAACAAAGATGTAAATTCAAACAATTTTGATGGCAAAGGTTCACCTCATCCGCCTTTACCACCCATTCCGCCACTTCCATCAGAAGGTGGAGAACCGATTTCCACGGCTTTAGGGTACTTAAAAATTGAATTATTTAAAATTTGACATTTTTACTAAATATTTTTTATTTATTTTACAAGAATAAATTACCCATCAAATCCAAATCTGCATTATCGATATCCACCTCCGACCCCCGAAATTCTTTTCAATATCATGAATGCGATTGCTGCTGTGCCAAATTTGTATACTCAAGTTTTACATTTAATGAATAAAATGAATTTGCCACCACCTTTTACGGCTATTATGCCCGAGTCGATATCACCTTTGCTAAAAGATCAGTTTCCTGAATTGCAAGGAGACGAAAGTAATAAGAAACGTAAAAAACGGGATGAGTTACTTGCAAGCGATGAATCCGAAATTGAGAGTGAAGATGAAGAGGAGAAAAGAATCAAGCGACAAGGATCTAATAAGAGACCTAAGACTATAATTGCACCTGTTAAAGAATCGAGGACTAATCCATTATACTCAGATACGACTTCTTTTTCACAATCTTTTCAACCGACGCCTGTTGTGACATCTATTATACCACCGTTATCACATTCAATTGTATCACAATCTATGGAATCTCTTAATATAGTTGCTCCAATTTCTAACAATTCTCAGCCATATCTAGCTGCACAGAATAATAAATCTGCTGGAATATCAACAAATATTATAGTGGAACCTCCATCTCCACTACAAACATCACAACCGCAACCACCTTCCCTTCCAGCACCATTTGATCAAACAATATCTACTTCATATGATGAACGTAATAAAGAAATGTCGACAGAGACAGATCTTGCAATTGAATGCATTTCAAATGAAGAAATTAATTCAAACAAAATGCCGGAACAAGGTAAACTTGATTGGACTCAAACTAACCCTTTAATAAATCTATATTTAAATAATAGATTACTTTTTCATTTAATTTATAAATAGAACTGCAAAATATCACTGCAATGAAAAAGTATACGCGCGGTGAACCTTCAGCCACACTGTATATTAAAAATTTAGCTCAGAAAAAAGTAGAAGCATATGACCTTAAACGAATATTTAGAAGATATTTTAAATCACAACAAGAAATGGAAAGGTATTTATTTATTGAATAGATTCATTAAATCATTTAAATAGAAAAGATTCAACTTTATTTAACTATTGTTTCTACCTAGCCAGTTGGATATCAATTTACTAAAAGAAGGACGAATGAGAGGACAAGCTTTCGTTAAATTCCCGGATGTGAATTTGGCGACTAAAGCTCTTGAAGAAATTCACGGCTACATATTATATGATAAGCCAATGATCATTGTAAGTGAATTTTCGATTTACTATTTTTTCCAAGAAATATCATTTTCAATTATATTTTCTTTTAGCAATTTGGACGAGGATCTTGAGTTCGGATTTGAATGCCAACAATATTGAGGAATTAATGCAATCTACTAGAACAACTATTGTGATCTATGCAAATTATTAAGTTTTATCAAATCAAGGTTTAATAGACAAATTATCAATTTCTTGGTTTCGTCCTAGATCACAGGGTTAATTAGTTGGCAGAACAATACCAATTAATCATTGCTCTATTTCCGAAAAAGTATTTTATAATTTAACCTTCCTTCATGGCTCTCGTCACAGAAAGTTTTTGAACTCAACATTATTTATTATATTAAAAATTTATATATTTTTTTCTTAGGTTTTTTAGATTTAAGTTGAAGAATGTTTTTGTTGCAAAGTAATTGTAAAATTATTTTATAATTAAAATATAAATTTTATTGATTTAATTATAAAATAATTTCTATAACTTTTAACAAAATTATGGAATTATACATGTGATTTTATTAATAAAATATAGTAAACATTGAAATTTTTGTTTTATATAAAATTAAAATTATAAATTATATTTTAATATATATTTTTCTGGATTTTTTAGATTTAATTTGACAAAATTATTTTAATTACAAAATTATTGTAAAACTTTTTTATAATTAAAATGTAAATCAATTCTAAAAATATTTATACTAACTTTATTAAATTAAATTTAGAAAATCCAGAAAAATATATATTAAAATATAACTTATAATTTTTATTTTAATATAAAAATAAAAAATATTTATTAATAAAATTGAAAATTTTTATATATAATTCTCACTATAAGTAATTAATTTCTGATAACTTTTTGAAATTATATATAATGCTTTGAAATTTTTTAAGTACAAAGAACATTGTAAATACTAATTATTAATATCATTTATAGATTAATTAATAATTTACTATTATTATAGATACTTATTAAACTTTTATGTCAAGAAAATATTTTTTCTCTTATAAGATAAATATGAATATTATAGAGAGTATGTATTGTAATGAATTAAAATATCTTATAATTTAATGATTATGCAATTTGTCTTATTAAATCTTGTTATAATTATCATTTTTAAGAAAGCAAAATTTGATGACTATAAAAAAATATAATTATAGAAAAGTTTTTTTACTATATTTATATATAAATAAGAAAATAAAATAGGGTGATTATAAAAAGATATAATTATAAATAAATATAACTATAAAGGAATTTGACTATATAATATTTATCTTTGTTATAATATTTTCTTTATTATAATCTTTGAATAAGGATATTGTTATCATTCTCATCAAAAATTTTATAATTACTTAATTATTAATCAAATAAAATATAATCAAAGTAATATAACATATAATTAAAATATAATAAAATAATATAAATATAATTAAAATAATGTAAAATATAAAATGAATAATATAAATTAAAAGAAATTATAATTTATAAATCACATATATATTAATTATTCAATAGAAATATATTTTAAATAATATAATATATCTCAAATTAAGTATTAAAATATTATATAATGACAATATATAAGAAAACAAAAAAAAAATTAATAAGCTATTTTATAAAATATAATTTAAATAAAAACAAAAATACTTATATAATAAATATAATAAAAAAATATCTATTTTGATATTTAATTTTTTGTATTTAGTAATAAATAATTAAATATATTATAATATTTATAATTATCTATTTGTTTTATATATTTTTATATATTTTTATATAGTTTATTTAATTTATTTAAAATATTCAAAATATTTAGTTTAATATAATTTTGTATAATAAGATTTGTACTTGAAAAAATACTATCTTGTTACTATTTTATATAAGGATGCTTGCCTAAATCCTTTCAGAAAAATATCGTCATAATTTCGACGGGTTACACACTAATTGTTAATT